CTAATCGCGTTTAATTCTGATTATTTATGAATTTTTAAGCCTTCGAGTGCAGATTTTGACTTCAGAAGAAAATTGTAGCCTACCTGTATTTCTGTAATTAATTTCTCGAGAACTGGCCATGGAGGGAAAGTGCCATTAGCGGCTTTTAATAGAGCACTATTTCCTCTATTGATTGTGCGAAGATGAAGCTAATCGCGTTTAATTCTGATTATTTATGAATTTTTAAGCCTTCGAGTGCAGATTTTGACTTCACAAGAAAACTGTAGTCTACCTGTATTTCTGTAATTAATTTCTCGAGAATCAGCCAAAGTGGAAAAGTGCCTTCGCGGCTTTTATTACAGCACATAGAGCACTATTTTCTCTATTGATTGTGCGAAAATGATGCTAATTTTTAGGCCTTCGAGTGCGGATTTTGACTTCACAAGAAAACTGTAGTCTACCTGTATTTCTGTAATTAATTTCTCGAGAACTGGCCATGGTGGGAAAGTGCCGTTAGCGGCTTTTAATAGAGCACAGCTTCCTCTATTGATTGTGCGACAATGAAGCTGATCGCGTTTAATTCTGATTATTGATGAATTTTTTAGCCTTCGAGTACAGATTTTGACTTCACGCGAAAATTGTAGCCTACCTGTATTTCTGTAATTAATTTCTAGAGAACAGGCCATGGAGGGAAAGTGCCGTTAGCGGCTTTTAATAGAGCACATAGAACACGATTTTCTCTATTGATTGTGCGAAAATGAAGCTAATCGCGTTTAATTCTGATTATTTATGAATTTTTAAGCCTTCGAGTGCAGATTTTGACTTCACAAGACAACTAGTCTACCTGTATTTCTGTAATTAATTTCTCGAGAACTGGCCATGGAGGGAAAGTGCCGTTAGCAGCTTTTAATAGAGCACATAGAGCACGATTTTCTCTTTTAATTGTGCGATAATGAAACTAATCGCGTTTAATTCTGATTATTTATGAATTTTTAAGCCTTCGAGTGCAGATTTTGACTTCAGAAGAAAATTGTAGCCTACCTGTATGTCTGTAATTAATTTCTCGAGAACTGGCCATGGAGGGAAAGTGCTGTTAGCGGCTTTTAATAGAGCTCGATTTTCTAATCGCGTTTAATTCTGATTATTTATGAATTTTTAAGCCTTCGAGTGCAGATTTTGACTTCAGAAGAAAATTGTAGCCTACCTGTATTTCTGTAATTAATTTCTCGAGAACTGGCCATGGAGGGAAAGTGCTGTTAGCGGCTTTTAATAGAGCACGATTTTCTCTATTGATTGTGCGATAATGAAACTAATCGCGTTTAATTCCGATTATTTATGAATTTTTAAGCCTTCGAGTGCAGATTTTGACTTCACAAGAAAACTGTAGTCTACCTGTATTTCTGTAATTAATTTCTCGAGAATCAGCCAAAGTGGAAAAGTGCCTTCGCGGCTTTTATTACAGCACATAGAGCACTATTTTCTCTATTGATTGTGCGAAAATGATGCTAATTTTTAGGCCTTCGAGTGCGGATTTTGACTTCACAAGAAAACTGTAGTCTACCTGTATTTCTGTAATTAATTTCTCGAGAACTGGCCATGGTGGGAAAGTGCCGTTAGCGGCTTTTAATAGAGCACAG